AGCAGGTGGTGTAGCCTGCCTGCCTGTGTGGCTTGTATTGCAAAAGTGACTTCGTTAAAGGAAGAGTTTCAAAACTCCATCCGACACAGAGCAGAGATCTGTATCTCTGTGTTTCGTCAGAAAGACAGCATTGCCCAGCCTCCTCCTGGCAGGGCCCCAGTGGGGTATCACTCCTCCTGGTACCCCACTCCTCCTGAGAGGGTATCACTCCTCCTGGCAGTGCCCACAGTGAGGCTCAGAGTGACTCCCCAGTCCTGCAGGGGGTCCCCTCCTGTGTGTGAAATCCTTTGGCTATTGTTCTCTGCAGGTCCTGGTTCACTGTTACTGAGCACCAGGTCACACCTACTGCAGCACACTGAGCAGGAGCAAAGGAGGAACGACTGGTGAGACCAAATAGCTGAACTAGCCAGTGTAGTTTATCCCAGCTTGCTCCAGACCCTCACAACCCTTTGTGTAAAGCACTGCCAGTTCTCAGTTTAAAATTCTCCTCCAAGTACTTTTCAGATGTTGGAGTTTCACTGCTGGTTCTGAGGACACCCGCAGGATGGACTTCAGTGCCTTTGCGGTCCCCTCTTGGTTTGCTCTGTTCAAGACTAGAAAGGCCCAGTCCTTCAGCCTGGCACTGTGGGACTTGAAGCTCAGGAATGTGTGGGACTGTAGAGCTGCAGTGTCTTTCCGGCAGCAGAGTGACCAGAGCTGTGCTGTGAGCCGCAGGCTCTGTCTCTGGTCAGACTTTTTCCTGCTCGAATGCTTTGCCAGCAGTGAAGAAGGGTCACTCACAGTGGACGGTGAGGACGTGGAGGAATGGTCACAGGACTGGACCAGCGCTCGGCCGCAGTGCGGCTGGACTGGGCCCGGAAGTTTGCCCCAAGGCGCTTAACGAAGCGAGTGACCATACATGTTGTGAATACAGAACAGAAGACAACGGAGGAACCAAAAACTCTTCTGTAAGGAGAAAAAAACCTCTAGGGGTCCAAGGTCAACTGGCTGCCCAACCCCTTTGGGCATGCTTAGATTATACCATTGAAAAACAGTTAATAAATGAATGAGGGTATTAATCCATCCATCATGTCTTCTGTATGGCAGTACTCCATGCAGTTCTCTGTAGACCTGCAGAATCCTCCTAAACGATAGCTATATCCACGATGCCCCTCTTGGATCCATAGCAGTGACGCAACATCCAACTCAGATGGTGCCCAGTCCAGCACCATCCGGACATGTGGGGAGGAGAATAGGATAGTCTGGTCAGAA